GGAACGGATGGGAAAATCCAGAAATGTGGTGTATTTGCCGAACAATCAAAATACATTATTCAACTTACCCTCTATATAAATATGATTTTCTATGGAATTTCATGTAATATGCGAGGAATAGCCTATTATTTGTATTAATCTTAGTTCCGTTTTTTCCACTTTTTTGCATGTTTGTTATCATTGCCATGTTGTCATGTTGTTAATTGCCTTTCGAAGAAAAAAAAATTTGCAGTTTTGCTTCCGATTTTTTTTCCCCGAAAAGTTGTGGAACAATCACCAACGAATATTTTTTAAATTTATAATCTAGCGACACAGAATTGAAAGATTTCCGTCTTTGATTCATTGGATTTTAAACGGGCCATTGAATAGCATTATTATTTTGTTTTTAAACTACAAATTAAAACACGCTCAGTCTAATTAAACATGAGCTTCTATATGGTGGTCATTATTTTAAGATGGTAATGCAGAGTTCCTTCTTGACTTCGTTTTGAATTGCTTTGGGAGAATGTAAGCGAAAAGTTCGAAGTTTCATGATTTTGACGGAGAAATGTGACACTGAGTTCTTTGAATGACAAATTTGAACTAGCAAATCTACGTGGAAAATTTGACCTTTTGTTTAAGTTTTGATGGGCAGTAATGGATTTTTGTTTCCTCTTGTGATAATGATAGATTCTGTAAATTTCAGGTGCTGCTGTTTTGCTTGGAAGGCAGACATGCCGCTGTCATGCCGATTTTATGCGAACCAATTTCCGGATGTGGAAGACACGGTTATGGTAAATGTACGACAAATTGCGGAGATGGGCGCATATGTGTCGTTGTTGGAATACAATAATAAAGGTGCGGCAGAGGTTAAGATAGATTAATCGATGTACATTTTCTTTTTATTACTGAGGTTGCTAGGCCGGCTGATGTGATTTCTCGGCATCACTTAGGTGAAGCGGGGCATGTTGCTTCCTTGTTTCTGGTCCTTCTACCCTGAAGAACATGTACTCATCTTCCCGTATTGTCTAGCCAGTTTAGTTCACACTGAAATGAGCCTAATCTGTTTTGTTGTTGAAGGAGGAGGGAGGAGAGGGAATGGGAAAAGTGGAAAATACATAGTATCACCTCATCCCGCCAAAATTTATGGTGCAAGTCAAAGCTTAAAACCAGGTAATGCAGTACAACTAGCATGAGGACGGATATCAGGATATGTTCAATTCTGCTGCCATCCTCCTGATTGGAAAAGAAGATTTTTATGCAAAAGGACCTGTTAAACTCACTCACTTTTCTTCCGCACTTGTTCATTCATTAGATTTTTGTGAAGTAATTTTCGAAGATTGCTTTCATTGAGAGCAGCTGCGGTAAATATAAATTTGACTTTCTGCAGAAGGTATGATTTTGCTGTCCGAGCTTTCGAGAAGGCGTATTCGTTCCGTCAACAAATTAATTCGCGTTGGACGCAGCGAATGTGTTGTTGTGATACGAGTTGACAAAGATAAAGGATACATTGATTTGTCAAAAAGGCGAGTCTATTCGAAAGATCTAATACAATGTGAAGATCGGTTCGCTAAAGCTAAGGCGGTAAACAGGTAAACATTTCGTTTATAGCACAAAAAGCGCGAGGAAGAATTTAGAAATGCAAAAATC